GCCGAGGGAGATGTTATCTTTTATCAGACAGTGTAAATGTTGGTTTGACCCAATGACCATTTAGTGTAAATGTTGGGCCCATTAAGAGCTCATGGTGATGGACTTAGGGGTTCACTGTTTTCTACCGTGAATTCGGCCAGGCCTTGTAACAGAGGTTGAGTTGAACCCATGTGGTTGATGTGTAGATCAATGTTTGGGTCTCACGTCATACAAGGATATTCAACTGGACAGYAGATTGAGGGGCTACTGAGCTGATAAACTTAATGGGCCTAAAGCCCAATTTGAACTGGCTTAACAAGATTAATTAAAAGAGGGCGGTTCTGCGATTTAGATCAACAAATAGGATAAGAGATTATCCCTATCCACTCAAAGAGTCCAGATCCAAATAAAGATTTGGATTAGGAAACTCCTAATTAGATTAGAAAGGCTAATATTTATCTGCAGATAAGATAAGAAATTATCCTTATCTCTTAAAGAGAGTCCAGATCCAAATAAATGATTTGGATTAGGAAATTCATAATGGGATCAGGAGAACCTCTTTTTAAGGTTATAAATAAAGGAACAGGGCGAACCTCCAGATAATCTAACAGACTGCTGAATTTCAGAGAGAAAACACAGATCCAAATAAATGATTTGGATTAGGAAATTCCTAATAGGATTAGGAGAACCTCTTTTTAAGGTTATAAATAAAGGAGCAGGGCGAACCTCCAGATAATCTAACAGACTGTTGAATTTCAGAGAGAAAACACAGTTTGACTGCACTGTCTCCTCCCCCTGTGGGAGCGATCAAGAAGGGTTCTTGATATTACTTTTTGGTAGAAAAAGGTAATATGAACTTTTGCTCACTAGCCCTCCATCACATTCTTGCTGAAGAATTCAGTTCTTGCTAAAGAGCCGTCTTGCTGATTCTGCTTCATCCTGCACCGTGTCATCTTCGGTGGAAGCAATATTTGGATTTTTCCTTGGGTGTGAACACCTTCATTGAAGGTTATTATTGCTTCGTATCAGGTATATTCTTCCACTCTCTTTTGGTTTTAGATCTGTTCCGGTTTGGTTTCAAGATTGATCATTGAAAATGCAGTTTTCTAAAATAGGGAATGCGATTCTCACATGGGAGAGATTTTTTGAAATTTCGCCCAACCTTCCTGTAGGGTTCGGCCATCCATATGATGGATCTCTCATCCCTTCAGTGGTATCAGAGCCAGGTTCAAATCTTGAACCAAAATTAACCAGATTTGGATCTGCGCAAATGGGCAGAAGGCATTCTACCCGATTTGCGCAGATTAGCATTTTTTGGGAAATTTGTTTCCAGTTTTTGGGCGATTGATATGAAATTAAATATTTATAAATCTGATTTATATTTATAATTGTTCTATATATTTTTCTTGATTTTTGGGTTGTTCGTATGGTGGAGATCGAAATCTTTAATGGCGCAAGAAATCTGCGCACCTGCTGTTCTTTTCATTCTTGGTCTGTAATTAATTTTTTTTATAATTTTTAGACGGAATGTATAGGAATTCAATTTTGATGTAATATTAATAGAAAATATGGTTTTCTATTTTATTCCATTCGAAGTTGAAGCAGAAAGAGCAAGGAGGAGAACTTTGTAGATTAGGGTTCGGCCATCTGCGATTTGCAGTTTTGGAAACTGCATACTGCGATCTAACTTTTGTTTTGCAAGATAGCAGTCCTACGAACAACCCTCCTACTGATTCTTGATTGTCTTAGATCAGTAATTTAATTTCAGATCTTGTTCTTAAATTAAAAATCAAACCCTAAACCCATTCAAACCAGATTGGACCAAACTGGTTGGACCAAATCTGTGGTTCAATGGGGGCTGTTCTCAGCCCTAATTTTTCACTCATGGGTTTAGGAGTTGATGGTTAATTGCAAGATACAATTCAACCCACATCTGTAAAACCCAATTTTAATATGTTAAAACTGCTTTAGCCCATTTCAGCATACAAGCTATATGGGYCGAACTGCTTTTTGCAATTCARCCCATATACCTAGGTAATATTAATCAGTAATATTATGAAGACTTATGGGCTTTAATCATGGGTTTTACAGTTATTTAATTGATTGGATCAATTATGTTTTCYTGCATGTGATGTGTAATGTTCATGAGCCATAAGTACTTGACCCATGCTGATTCGATAGTGGCTCTTGCGCACATAATGGCTAAATGCATACCATTGCCATGGTGTCCTTAAGATCATTGGATGATCTCACTTCGTGGTGGGCCCCACACCATCTTCCTCCCAAAGAGGAACCGTGCGGAACCCTAACCGTTTAGGGCCCATCTAAATCGTGCGAAATCAACATGGGCCAAGTACTTATGGCCCATGAACGTTGCACATCACACATCCATACATCACATGCATGAAATCCATAATTGATCCAATCAATTAAATAATTGTAAAACCCATAATTAAAGCCCATATATTTTCATAATATTACTGATTAATATTTTCTAGGTATATGGGCTGAAGTACAAAGAGTAGTTTGGCCCATATAGCTTTTATGTTGAATTGGGCTAAAGCAGTTTTAACATATTAAAACTGGGTTTTACAGATGTGGGCCGAATTGCATATTGCAATTAACCATCAATTCTTGGACCCATATGTGAAATTTTATGGCTGAGAACAGCCCTCATCGAACCACAGATTCGGTCCAACCAGTTTGGTCCAATCTGGTTCGAATGGGTATAGGGTTTGATTTTTAATTCAAGAATGATGGTCTGAAATTAAATAACTGATACAAGACAATCAAGAATCAGTGGGAGGGTTATTCGTAGGACTGCTACCCTGCAAAACAAAATTAGATCGCAGTATGCAGTTTCCAAAACTACAAATCGCAGATGGCCAAACCCATATCTGCGAAAATTTCTCCTCTACGCAATCTGCTTCATCTTCGAATGAAATAAAATAGAAAACCTATTTTTTATTAATATTACATCAGAATTAAATTCCTATACATTCCGTCTAAAAAAAATAATTACAGACAGAATGAATAGAACAGTAGGTGCGTTGATTTCTTTGCGCCATTAAAAAATTCGATCTCCACCATACGAATAACCCAAAAATCAAGAAAAATATATAGAACAATTCTAAATATTAATCAGATTCATAAAGATTTAATTTCAGATCAATCGCCCAAAAACTGGGAACAAATTTCCTAGAAAACTTTAACTACGCAAATTGGGTAGAACGCCTTCTGCCCATTTGCGTAGATGCAAATCTTGTTTAATTTGGTTCAAGATTTGAACCTGACTCTGATTCTACTAAAGGGACAAGAGATCCATCATATGGATGGCCGAACCCTACAGGTAGGTTGGGCGAAATTTCAAAATTTTTTTTTCTTTCTTGTAGAAACGTATTCCCTATTTTAGAAAATTGCATTTTCAAGGATCAATCTTGAAACCAAACTGGACCAGATCTGAAACCAAAAAGGGGGTAAAGGGATATACCTGATACGRAGTAATAGTAAACCCCTAGTGAAAGTGTTCACGCCCAAGGAGAAGAATAAAAATAGCTTCCACCGAAAATGACACGGTGCGAGGTGAAGTAGAATCAGCAAGACGGTATCTCCAAGGTCCAGAGTAATATTGGAATTTTGGCCCGGCTCAGGGTTCAAGAAAACCCACTGCATGTACCTCAGGTCTCACATTAGCAATTGAAACAGGCCACCCCAACCAACTTAGCGGGACATCGGTGTCAGACTTGGCAGGACAAATCTCCATAGATCTATCCAACGGCTGTGAAGATTTTAAAGTAACTCGAGTCTTATATGAATCCAATTTAAGGATATTATACTGAACAATTATGACTTTCTTTCTTTCATTTGTATCCTGGCCTTTGTAATAAATTATATAACACAAACCATTACATATCTCACAATGAGAACAAAGTACAAAACATGGAATCACGGAACCCCTCTTTCCATGCAATTTGCTGATTTTTCCCGGTCTATAACCACAAATACAACAGAAGTGATAGATTTGAACTGTTCACACATGCATGGAGTTTGAATCTTTAGATATCTCCAACTACAGTTTGGAGTATTTAGACAGAATCATGCTATATCTTTAACTAGTGCTTTATATACTCTTTGAGCATTAGCCGGCCAGGGGAGTAAGAAACTCCAACATACCCTTCAAAATGCTTTATATCTGTGTATTGATCTTGTACAAAATAAGTCAAAGCCTATATCCATGTAAATGTTTAGCCCATCTTCTGGCCATGCAAGGATCATGGTAATCCCAACTCTCAACACTGCTAGTACTTCCACGCATATTAAGATCTCTCCCTCCATCTTGTCCATTACTCTGCCTCTTATCCCCAATGCTTACCACCATATCGCCTGTGCTTATACATTCTTCAGGCCCACCCTCGATGTAGCTATATCCCACACAAACAAATTCGCAGTTACCCAAGTCCAATGGGATTCTCCTCTCTTCTCCTCCCCGCAGTTCTCCCAACCTTAGCACTCCACCATCCTCCCCAATCTTCAACTGGGTTTCTCTGATCACGCCCCCTAGCAACCTTGCTAAGAACTCTTCAAATTCATGCATAACAAATCCATTGGAAGTGCCAAAAGCAAACCCCACATGAAAACAATGTATTGGAATGGGGATTTCCATGCCATGACCGAGGTAAGATCTTGTTGGACTATCAGATAACTGCAGGATGCAAGATCGGGGATTTCTGTGAGCACGATCGTCCAGTATCTTTATCCCTTTCTTGAGTCCTTCGGTTGGGTCTGCCTCCCCCATGTAAAATAGACGATCAATGACTTGAAGTGCTGTTCGCTTCCCTTGAGATGTCATGCGCCTAAGAGGGAAGGCACGAGCCGCTGCGGATGAGTAGGTGACAATAGCTAATCGGTCGACAGAGCGAAGAGAGAAAACCGCTAATGCCATGGATTGCTTAAGAAGCCTCAGGTGGGGCCCATTGGGGCTGGCCACTAAAACCAGGTCAGTTGGTTGCTGGTATGCCAGTCTTACGGAGAGATACGCTGCTTTGTTGGAGGGATACGGTTTCTGCCCGTTTGAAGAAGACTGGGAAGTAGTACGTGGGGATGGCAAAGACGAGGTGGCCGTGAACTGTGGTTGTAACGCTGACAGCCCACGTGGATGATGTTGATGTGATGTGATTCCTGTTATTTGCAAGGGTGGTCTGCATGGGGAAAGGCTAGGTCGAGTGAGGGGAACGGGGATTAAACTCAGGTGGAGCCGTGGGTGGTTGGGAGTTTGGTCTGGCTCAACGGGGTCGTCATCATCGTAGCGGGCGGAGCGGAGAGAGTAGCGTCTGTGAACTCGGAAAGTAGCGATGGAATCATCAAGGATGCGAAGGATGGGGTCGGTCTGGTTGCAAGGATGGGAGCATGGAGGGTTGACATTGCGAGGTAACTGGGTCCAGTGAGCTCGGCAAATGGGGCAGGTCACGTTGCCATGTCGGACGTTGGAAGAGATGCAGGTAAAGTGGAAAGCATGCGAGCACTGGGCTGTGAATATAATAGCTTCGCCAGGGCTGCTGTTGCCCATTCTGTAACTTAGAGGCTCCAGACATATTGCACACAAGTTCTGCCAGGTGAGGAGAGAAAGTGTTATTGGTGTCCGTTTCTTGATAACTTACTAATCTTAGTTATTATAAAGATAAAACAGACGAGTCCAGATCAGGTAAACACACTCGATTAACGCACTGAGAAAGCAAGCAATACATATATTTTGACACCCATCTCATAAATTACCTCCTCCCTCTCACTCTATAATTGAAATCAAGGCTCTGTTTGGTTGCAATGCAAATGCAAATATTTTTTGGTTCATGAATGTAAATACGATTCACATTTTAAACTGTTTTTGTATTCAGTTTGTTTGTTTGAAATCAGTGCAAAAGTGTAAGTCCATCGTTATATGCTCCAACTATCTTATACTCCAATGCATTAACTTTGGTCAAAAAGTTAATTATCTTAAGAACACAAAATTGCATCCAAAAAATAAGTACAGTAATGTTCCATTTTCAGAGTAGAAAAATGTCATAAAATATATTTTTGCTCTGATAATCATTACTTTTTTATATTTCAAACAAACGCTTGCAAAAGTTGGGGAGTTTTAGAGTTTAATCCGGTTCAGGTAGACATGCCTTAAACGGATCCCTCTGAATCATGTTTAAAAAAAAATTAGAAAAGTAAGGGAGTGAGCCCCAATATAGTCCGATAGACCCCTACTGGCTTATCGGGCTATATTTTGAACCTTACTTGAAATGATTCAAAGCAAATTTTAGAGACCATTGTGAGAGAATATTTATTGATTGCTTGTTCCGTGTGCTCACACTTTGCAAGCTTGAAAACAAGGCAAATTCGGGTTACAAGCGTTTGTTAAAATTTGAATGGGTTCAGTCTAAAATTCCGAATTTGAAAGTGTAAAATCTTCAAATTGTTAATTGTGCAAAAATATAAAGAGAAACACAACATAAAACATAAAATGGTGGTAAATAGGATCAACCCTCTATGTAAAATAAGAATGAATATGGATTTTTTTTTGTAATAATTTGTTATTTTATATTGGATGATCGGAAGGTTTTTAAACAAAAGAGTTATTTGTACTTTGTATGCATTTTAGACAAGGATATGTAGACAGATGAAGGAAGAAGATTTTTTCTTGCATGGAAAAAAAGGAATAAGAATTTCATTCAGATGTTGAAAAAAAATAAGATAGAAGAATTTCGGAGAAATGATCGGAGGGCTGCTTTGCGGATTCCAGTACAATCATGGGGAGTTTGTGCATCCTTGGAATAACAAATTCTTGTGGGTTTCTAAAATCAAGACCGTTTCAATACGTGGGTTACCCGATAGATGTTCTAATCTGAGAGTTCTCAAGGCAGAACGACTAAACGACGATAGAATGCTACAAATTATAAGCAGCAATATCCGTCTAATGATGTAATACAAGATATTCCCTTTCCAATAAAAGAAGAATACTTCATTTCAAAAAAAACAATAATAATAAAATAAAAGAAGAATGATGGAAAGGAAAAAGGAGCGAATTCCACAGCATTTAAATACTTAATTTTCATCTTGGATTTAGGAAAAATTAAAACAAGTACAAAAGAAAATTTCTTAATCTGATTTTTCGATGAACAAAATAAATGTTCATGTACCTTATTAGCCAGGCCGCCGGATTCTGCGTCCTCCGCGATTTCTGGAACATTCTCTCGTCTCGCATAGGTTGTTGCGTTTGAGATCTGGGAGGAAAAGAAAAACATTATTTCGAACTTAATGAAGAAAAGCAAGAGGAAAAAACATCAAGAAAAACAATAGAAAGCAATGGAAAGTTGGAAACAGAAAAACTGAAATTTCGAGAAAGTATAATCAGTTGTCTGATTTCGAATTGGGAACTGGACAAAATTACAGCGCAAGCCGCAAGGAAAAGAAAATGCTGCAAATGCTACTTGTTTTTAAGCCAGAGATGGGGGGGAGGGGACTTTTTTTGGTTTCTTTTGAAATGGAAAACAAGTTGAGGATTTTTGTTTGGACTTCGGATATGAAGACAAGAGGTTCAGATGGTTATTGCATTATGCAAAATTTTCCACAAAATAGAAAGAAGTTTTCTTTTTTTTTTAACTAGGAAAATTGGTTAAAAATTAAAATTCAGAATAAATATGAGAAAATATATGAACACAAGAAATTCAGAATGACATTGTGTTAAAAAAGATTTTCCACAAAAGAAAAAGGAAACTTTTAAGCTGAAATTCAGAACAAATATGAGGAATGATATGTTCGGAATGTAATTGTTAAGAACAATGAACATTTGTCGGAACAACAAAAACAAAAGACGAAAACACCGAATAGAGATTAGATAGTCGAAGAAAGAAAGGAAAACTTAGGGAAAAGAAAACCTACATTAGTAGAGGCGACGGGATCGTCTTTAGAATGTGTCCTTGAAAAGGAACTACACGGAAGTCGGATTTTTCTAGCGGCTCTTCTAAGCTTCGAAGCGACCATGGCGGATAATCTCTCTCTAACTCCGCTCGCTCTCCGGTCTCTCTGACTCTACTTCTTCCTCCTATGATCTACTACCTCTGTGCTGCTGTATTTTATGCGTGCTTTATATCTGCTTGGTTTTTAATTTAGTCAACAAGACAGAGAGACAAAGCTCTGAGAGACTCGTGCAGTAAACTCTGATGCTTTATTCTATTTCCACAAATACCCAAACTTTTAACTGCAGTGGCCGCACATTATTCACTTTTCTTTACTATTCCTTATAATTCTTATTTTTGGGTAAATTATAAAGATCTCCTTGTATTATAAGGTTAGTGATAAAAACCTCCCTGTACTTTATTTTACGACAAAGACTCTCTGAACTTTGGTCGTTAGATAAAAACCCCTTAATCGTTAAGTTAGATAATGAAATGCATTAAAATACCAAATTATTTATTAGAACTTTATTTTATGACAAAGACTATAGGGTTAGTGACAAAAACCTTTCTGTACTTTATTTTACAATAAAAACTCCTCTGAACTTTGGTCCAAGGTTCAAAGTATTGGTCGATACACTGATAGGGTGTATCGGCCAATATCGGCCCTTTTTTTTTAACTTTCAGTTTTTTTTTCTTTTTTTTCGATTTTAATTCAGAGGGGCCAGTTTAAGTACCGACTACCCTCTGAACCAGGCCCTGAYCCAATACAACCCCTCAGGAAGGACCTGATATGATACATGTCGGCTGATATGGCCGTAATGATTTTTTTATCCTTACTTTGGTCGTTAGATAAAAACTCCTAACCGCTAAGTTAGATAATGAAATGTATTAAAATACCAAAATATTCATCAGAACATCCGATCAAATTAAACCTTTAATATCCGTTCCATCTTACAGAGCATTCCTTTACTGTACCAACTATTAATAAGAAATTTATTAATTACGAAATCTTATTTAACTTTGAAAACAATGCAGGAGTAACTTGACGTTTAGTAGGATCTCTCCATTCCTCTGTGTTTGTTTCTGGGTCCCCCCATTGGAACTGTTTGGACTGCTTGAGCTGTGCTCCATGCTTTGAAAACGATTTTGCCCAAAGAAATGTCTTCCATCTGTAGTATACAGGTTAAAGTTAAAAACACGACAATGGCTTAAAGTTTCTTCCATTTTCAGGTATCACCAACAATGGGTTCATTGTTCGGGATATGACGTTCGAAAACACAACGGACCCCAGAAGTACCAAGCAGTTACCCTCTGCTCTGGTTCGGATCTCTCAGTGTTCTATCTGTGCAGCTTCAGTAGTGAACATCCTAAATGGGATTAATACATCAGAACTTGATTATACTAAGCCACTCACATTAAACTGAGTTGAGATCGATCGAGCTGTCATGGCACTCAACCCTCTGTCGCCCAAGTAAAGCTTTTCATATAAATCATGAAGATCAATAAGTGTTCAGTGATAGTGTCTGATACTTGAACAAGGTTTGAAGGTTATACACAGAATACATATAAAATGATAAAATCAATGCATAAGGTTTAGAGAAATGTATTTTGTTAAGGTTAAAAAAAAGGTTCAACTATGATATGGAAAAAATATGATATCTGAAAAACAACCGACCAATAAACTGGAATCAGGATAAAATGTTATTTATCAAAATTCATGAATGGGTTTTGTTTGGTCAAAACTCTTTCTATATCATATCCTTTCGGCATCATAGATTTTCCCTAAAAAAAAGGAATGGCAATTTCTCTAATATAATTTGGAGATGCTTTTTATTTCGTTTTCCTTTATAAATACTTCATCGGGAGTCCTCTAACTAGATTCTCTCACTAAACTTTGGTACAGAGGCTCATCATGGTCATCAATGGAGAAAAATGGTTGGAGCCCGTTAGCTAAAGAAAGTGGTTTATCCTTTGAACCACTTATCCTTTGAAGCCAACGGATTTAACAAATGAATGGGGAATGCCAATTATGCTGATAATTTCATTAAATCCCACTTTGTTTTCTTCTTATAAATTTTGACTCGCTATGCTTATCTCTTCGCCGGAAAATGACTCCTACAGACGTCAAGTTCCACCTGAAGTACGTTATCCCTTACCATCGCTCCACGTGAAAAGGCTCATAGCTATGTCGTGATTCCAATGGTTACGTGTGCTATTTCTGAACTTCGTCAAGCATTCTGCCCCTGTATATCTTCTATAAAGAGGTCTTCTGATATGCTCTCCTAGTATATCTGGTTCTCTCTCTCCATGGTATCCGAGAAAAACATGGTCTAGCATGATGAATGAATTACAGTGAAATCAGTGGATTGGATTGGGATCCCAGTATATCTGTCCTCTGTGGCACCCGACGACATTTCTTCTCCCCCTTTTGCTGTATCCCAAACCAATTGTTCAAGATAGTATCAATCAATAGTGTTTTCAGGTTTTTACAGGTATGTGGGCAATTTCTTCTCACCGTTCTAAAATAAAGGGTAATTTAGGAATTAAAAGAATAAATAGTTAACGGAGGGGTCTTTGTCTAATGGCCAAAGTTCAGGAAATCTTTGTTGTAAAAAAAATATAGGGAGTTTTTGTAATTTACCCTTTTCTTTTTAACTTAGGCTGTCTTTAGTTGCGCAATGCAAATAAATCTGCATTGATGCAAAACTATGGCAATATAGATGATTTCAGTGTAAATTTTGACTTATTTTTATTTTAAATTTTAGCTTATTTTGATGAAATAAATTAGGGTAAATTATAAAAACCTCCCTTATGTTTTCTTTTGCAATCATAAAACCTCCTATGTTTTGGCTAAAACAAAAACCTCCCTTGTACTTATCAATAAATTGATAGTCACCTCCCTTTTATTGTTTGATTGATAATGGAGACACAAAAGTTACAAAATTACCCCCATTCTACATCATATTTCTAAATAATTTAAATTTCATATTTAGTTCTTCTATTCAAGAAAGTTGGGATCACTATAGTGTTCACTAAGATGTGACTCCAACTTTTTTGAATAGAAGATTTAGGATTATTTAATTTTTGTCAACATTTGAATGGTCAATAAAAAAATTAAATGACACTAGAGAGGCATTTGTGTATTTTCAAATGCCACTTAATGGCAGGCACTGGATTGACAAGTTTTGAAAGTTTAAGTACTGAATTATCATGCTTTAAAGTTTGGAGACCAAAGTAGCACCAGCCCAAAATACATAGAAATTTCCCAATATTTTACCCAATAATTTAAGCAAAACCCAAAACAAAATTAAACAAGAATTTACATTTTTTTCATTTACACCCTATACGTGAAAATAAAATTTCACTGCACGCGGGCCTAACCTTACCTCAAACTGCTAATTTGCAATTTCATTTTAACTTTCTACTCCAGTTCAAAGTTCAAACTTCTTCGGTCTTTACACTTTAGAACTTCAAAGTTCAAACCTCTCTTTTTATTACTGCAGTAATTGTCTGCTACGTCGAAGATTCCATCGCCAACGTGCCTAGTCGGCTATTCCTCCGTCTGTCCCCGTTTTCCCAAATACTCGTCCCCTTTTTTAAGGTTGTGGTTGAGGAGACCAAGACCGAGTCACCGGCTGTCTTACTCCTATCTAGACCTGTTCATGGGCCGGCCCGGCTTCTGGATGGGCTTGAACAGGCTTTTTGGCCCGCGGGCTTAACCTCGGGCCAAAAAGCCCGACCCGCATAAAATTCGAGCCAGGCTCGGGCTTTGCCAAAATAGCCCGGCCCGAGCCCGGTCCGGCCCGACCTAATATTAAACTTAAAATGAGTTATGTGATT